CTCTTGTAAGACGACTTCGAATTTCTTTGGATTTCTCTGGATCTCTTGTAGGACGGCTTCGAATGTCGATGACTGACGTAGGTTTTATAGATCTAGCCTTCCGAGAGAGAGAAAAAACGTTTCAGTAGCATGCATCTGAATAGTTTCGCCTGTGGTGTGGATTAGAGGACCAAACAGGGGAGGTGCGAGGGAAATAGCAAAGGAAATAGAATTTTCTGCGAAAAACTGTTTTGTAATGCATGACTGATCCTTTTGACCGCAGTTACGCATAGAAGGACAAGGTACGTGGTATCTGTAAGGTATGGGAAAATAGCGGGAAAACTGAAAATAGCAGGAAGAAATAGTTTACTCCTAACAAGAAGAGTAGAAGTTTTTTGCTCTCGGTTATATGGGTGAAACCGAGCCTGCTTGGGTTGTTCTAGCGTACGAACAGTTAAAAAAATGACTGGGATAATAGGGAAATGGAGGAATGTTATGCAAAGCCGAGCCCGGAGCAGGTGGTTTAGAAGCAAGAGCTTCCGGCGTAAGTGAGAGCTTCCGGCGTAAAGTTTTAAAGAGGGTACGAGGTGTAGTTCAACTAAAAGTAGGATACTAGGTTACCTTGCAAGCATCTCGAAACACCCCTTGATGAGGTCGCTACTGGCGACGACCGAAACTAGTAGGGGATGCCAGCTCCTCTGGTCTTGATGACGGAGGGGCCATAGCGAAAGCTATGGAATAATTTTTGAAATGTCGAGATTTCGATATCTTTTATTCACAGATTTCGGCTGCGTTATGCGGCTATGTGTGGAGCTTTAGTGTCGATCTTAACCAACTCTGGACTTTCTATTACTTTACCAAATTTGAATTAAAAATCAAATACAGAAAATAAACACTATGATAAAAATAATAAAAAATAAAAAGAGAATTAAAATGAGTGAGTGTGTCAGCACCTTTTCGACACCACCATCTTTGCCGATTTTTAATTAATTTTTGGTATTGACAAATGCCCTAAAAATTTAAATATATGTAGTTTACATAATCAATAACTTATTAAAAGGTTAAAAAAAAAATAAAAAAATTAGGCCCCGAAATAAAGTGAAAACATAAAGTCAAAATTGAAAAAAAACAAAATAGTGAGTGGGCGAGCACGTTTTGACACCCCCATCTTTGACGATTTTTAATATTGTTTTGGCTTAGCAGAATAGCTTCAAAATTTATAGGCGTGGAGGTTACATCATAGAGAACTCACAAAAAACAACTCAGAAAAAAAAACTTATTTTTAGGCCCCGAATGTTTTTTTTGCGGGGGTCGAACCTGGAGGTGTTCGGCCCCTTAACGGGACCCCGAACGCCTGAACGTTCGGTCAGGTAACCCTGCATATATACCCTCTCTCTCTATATATATATATATGTACATATATATATATATATGTACATATACATATGTATATATATGTACATATATATATATATGTATATCTACATATATATATATATGTACATATATATATATATGTATATATATATATATATATATCGTCACAAACAGAACTGCCCGGTAAACCGTAGGCAGAGAGAGAGAAGAGGACAACAAACGAGG